TTAGATCGTTTAGATTTTTTCCCCCTCCTCCCTTGTATTTTCTCTATTCCAGCCTTAAAATCTAATTTAAAGCCCCGTCTGAATCAGGTCAGTGCAGGTTCTGGCCAAATACATTTTTCTAGTCTTCGCTAAGTGCATTCTGGCGATGCCGAGATCCCATCAGTCTGCGCTCTCTGGCTGAGGGCCAGGAAGACAGAGATCCCAGTTCTGGACGCCCTTACTGTTGCCAAGCTTTCCTTGCCATGTCTTCCGTTCATTTCCAAACTCACGCCCACCGCCGGGAGAAGGGATCCTGGGCACCTGGCCCGAGCCCTTCTCGCAGTTCCCCTCCTCCCTGGCACCACCCAGGAGATGCAGTCAGATCTTTGTGACCTTCCTCCTTGCCACGTGGTTGTGGACAAGTGTGGGGAGCCCTGACTGCTCCTGTTTATTACAGTCCTTCCTAGCCTGCCCCGAAGATAGTGCTGCCAGGGGCCTTGCGGGCTTGGGAGCGCACACCCTGTCCCTCCCCGCTCGGCCACCTGGGCACAGCCTTTGCAGTTCTCCCCCAGCCTGGGCTTCCTGAGGGCGATTGCAGAGCCCTCCCCATAGAGAGATCGTGAGGGTCTCAGAAGGTGCTTCCTGCGAAGTGCTCAGTAATCATTCCTGAATGATCATTCTGAACTCCCTGCTCCCCTCTAACGTAAACACATTTTCTCCCTGAGTTGGTATCTGGGATGGGGAACGTCTTCCTGCTGTCTAGAGTCTCAGACCCTTACCCGTGTGGGATTCCAGTGGTGCTGTGTTTTTATTCATTTTCGTCTTCTCTCACGCTCCCTTGATTGGCATTCACCTCTTGCTCCTCAGTCTCTGTCTGCAGAGTTTGTTCCCGGATTACTGTTAATTTCATGTGGACTAGGAGAGTTGCTCACACGACAGCTCGAGGGCACCTGAGCTGTTGCCAGCGGGCAGCCTGGTTTGCCTGTGCCGCAGAGGTAGGCAAGGGGTCAGCAGGGGTCACCTCAGACAGGGTGAAATGTGGCTTGTCTCCATCTGAAGCAGCCATTACTGCCCTTAGGGTGAAGTCCCAGGTCCTGACCTCAGCACACAAGGCGTATTACCCTAACCCCAGACAGACAGACAGCCTCCTCTCACTCTCCGAGCTCGTCATACCAAAGATCTTTCATTTCTTCCAGCACACATGGGCTCCAGGTCTCCTTGTGTGCTCCTACCTCTGGCCAGAACATTCTTGTGACCACTTTTTCCCATTTTAACACCTTTTCATCCTTGGAGATTGTGCTGAAATGTCATTTTGGCACAGAGACTTACGTCCCTTCTCAGGCCTTGCCAAAGACCCTTGCCATGCCTTCCTGTTGCACCATGCTATTGATCTTAAAAGATCCATGACACTTACACATGTTTTTTATTGTGTCCGGTGGTAGTTGAGAGGCTAGGATTTCCTGGTGCCATTGGTGGTGGGGCTCGCCCGCTTTGCGGGGCAGAGGCCAAGCAGGACGTTCAGGATCACATTTCTTTGCTCCTCTGTGACCTCCGTGATGACAGAGCTGGTTCTGTCCTATGTGTCACTGTGACTGTCACCACTGACACCAACGTTAAGCCAGAGAAAGGCTCGTTAAATTCGGGGACTGTTAACAGTGAGAAATTGCGAACATTGTTTTCATCTCTAGGTGTTGAAATAGACCTTGGTTCCCTTGAGGACTTTTCCCACAGATTTATATGATTTCTCCTGTTTCCTGAGGACTTGGTGAGGGTAAATGATACTTCTCCTTGTTTCTGTCAAAGGGCAGCAGGCCTGACCTAGGGACAGTGACTGAAAAAGAACAGTGGTGTGTAGAAGACGGTGTTGGTGAGGGAGGTCCTGACTAAAGGGAAGGGGAAAGGGGAGGAGAAATGTTCTGGAATTGACTGTGGAGTCTCTGGGCCGTCCTGGGCACTTTCCGGGTGAGAATGTTGTGGGCAGGTGCTGGTCCCAGGACCACACTGGGGGCTCTCAACAGGAGAGGAAGGCAAGGTCTTGGCCCTCGGGCACCTTTTGCCCTTGTTGCTCCTGTGTTTGATTAAGACAGCCTGAGAAGGGCACTGCTGTGGACCCTGGCTGTTTGGATTGACTTGAATGTCTGTGATGAGTATTTAATTGGTTCATCATTAGGATGGCCTCACCCGCCACAGGTCTGCAGTCAGATCCTGGGGACGCTGAGTCATGTATTCAGGCCAGAGGCAGTTGTGGAAACAACTACCTCCCGGCCATTGTAAAAGAAAATAAAAAAAAGAAGAGAAAGAAAAAAGAGAGAGAGAAGGGAAAGGGAGAAAGAGAGAAAGGAAGGAAGGAAGGGAGGGAGGGGGAGGGAAGGGAGCGGAGGGAGGGAAAAGAAGGAAGGAAGGAAGGGAAGGAAGAAACCATCCCAGTAGTTGGAACCACAAATTTAAATTGATCCCATGAAGTTTGGCCCTAATGTATTGAGATGAAATCATACTGTTTATTCCCAAGAAAGCGTGGCTTTTCCAGAACTAGCGTGTCCATTGCCATACCTGTCCAGGTGGTCCCTGACTAGCATGAAACACGCAGTGCGCACGTGCAGGCTGAAATCAGACAGCCGTCAGTCACGGATCCTTCTGCTGAGTCTGCACCGACTCCTGGGGGTAGTGAGTAGACACAGGCTCCTGGCAGCCAGCTGACCTGTCTCCTTGTCTGTGATAAAGCCACCAGTAAGGACCCTCGTTGGTGTCTGCCATATGCTCACCAACTAAACCTCCAATCTGCACCACATGCTAGGCTGTTGGAAACACATTTTCATTTTGATGTGGCTATTCTGAAGTACATGTGTATAACAACATGTGCTCTTTGTCAACCAGATGATGACACTGCCATTACTAAGGCTGTGCTCTTGCCATGCTCGTAAAACTAATGGGGTTTTGTATCTCTTTGCTAAATACTCTATTATCAGATGAAAAAGAAATTACCATAAAAATTCCTTCAGTACCACAGGGAATTTTTCTGAGGGGCACGTTCCCTCTTTCCCGTTCCCCAGCCCAGTTTTTGCTTTTAAGGAAAAGTGTCCAACATGCCCATTCTCAAGCACAGAGGCTCAAGATTTTGTGTCCTTTGGCTTCCTCCTGTTACTGCCAGCCAATGTGTCTCCGTCTGAAAACTCTGCCCGCATGTCGCCAGGTCCCGAAACCTTCCCTACAGAGGTGGCCACTTGGTGGCAGAGGCCCTCAGGTCACCCCTGGAAGCAGCTTGCTGCACGAGGCTAGAGTCCCCAGCAGAAGACCCATAGTGTGTGAGCAAGGGAGCAGCCCTCACTCCTCCACTTCCGGTTCCTACCTGACGAGCACATGGGGACATTCCCACAGAGGAGCTTTTCTTCCCTGTGGTGTTTGGATGTTACCCAGGAACATAAGGAAAGCCTGGTGTTTTATCATCTCATGGCTTCCTTCCTTGCCCGGCTAACTCCCTGACTCAACCTCAGAGTCTGAGAACAGAGGAGAGGCCAGGTGTGCTGGCCCGTGAGTCCTGGCAGAATGACTTCTTGGTGGGAAGCTGAGGGCTGCTGGAACCCCTGTCCAAGGAGGCCCGAGTGTCTCTCTCCCTCTTAGTAATGTCAGTGCCCAGCCTGCTGTGGGGCCAGCTCTGCATGCCCTGTCACCAGCTGTGCCCCTTACCCGAGCCAGCAGGACGTCTCCCTGGTCTGCACGTTCTTATGGGGGTCTGGACAGAGACCTTCCAGCCTCTGCCATGTGCAAACCCTGCCTGAGTTTCTGTATTGCTTTGAGCAGTGTCTACCTAGGGCTCAAGTGCATGTTCTGGCAGTGTGGCTTTGCCCAGCCCTGGGACAGTACCCTCAGGGGTGACCCATCCTCCTCTGGCCTTCCCATGTGGCAGCTGGCTCAAGATTCGGTGTATTTTCAATCACTATGCTATGCATCCACAGCTCACAGCTGAGAGTTTTGCTCAGCAAATAACATGTGTAAGCCAGATTGTGCCATTCCCTGCACTCGACAATCATGAGTGTGAACATGAGCATTTTACCTCGGGATGAGCATCAGATCCCCTATCTTGATAGCTTTGCAAATAGTCCTGTTACCAGGAGTGATTCTTCTAAATATTCTCAAAATCTGAACTAACTTCACATTATGAGCAAACATAATCCAAACAAAGGGTGATGGACTTTATTGGTTTAGTCACTGATTTCAGAAAACACAAGGCTACTACGTACGTGCTCATCAGCTTGATTCATCATGGATTTTGTTTCTCTTTTCCTCTAGAGACAAAAAGGCCATGTATTAGATTTTTATTGCTGTGTACCAAATTGCCAGAGACATAGCTATTTGAAACAACCCCCATTTTTTATCTTACAGTTTCTGTAGGCCAGAAGTTTAGTGCAGGGCCGAACTGGGTTCTCGGCCCTGGCTGTCAGCTGTCATAAGGCCCAAAATCAAGGCCATGGCTGGCTGGGCTCTTCTTATCTGAGATTCTGGGAGGAGTCCACCTCCAGCCTCATTCAGGGTGTTGGCAGAATCCACTTCCTTGTGCTTGTGGAATTGCAGTCTTTATTCTGCACTGGCTGTTGACCAGAGGTGGTTCTCACCTGCTAGAGGCCACCTGCATTCCCTGTCTCATGGCCCCCTCCATCTTCAACCCGGCACTGTTGTGTTGGATCCTTCTCATGCCTCTAATCAATCTCACTTTTTTGCTGCTAATTTGAAAACACTCTGCTTTTAAAAGCTAGCCCGATTGGATCAGGCCCACATGGTTAATCTCCCTATTTTAAGATGAACCAACAAGGAATTTTCATGTCATCTGCATAATCCCTTTGCAGCGGTGCCTCCATTAGTGTTTGGCAGAATAACCAGGGGACAGGAGCCTTGGGGGCCATCTCTAGACTTCTGCCCACCACAGAACAGCACAGAGAAATCAGTCTCACATTCACTCTTACACTTCACTTGACACTTCTGGGAAGCCTCTGTTGCCAACGTGTTCTCCATTGTGTCTCCACCAGCCAGTGCCGGGCATCCTGAGGCTGAACCAGAGGCAGAACCAGGACCGGAGGCAGAGGCGGGGCAGGTTGCCGATGAAGCCAGCCAGGACATAGCTGGTGCCCACGGGGGCGTGGAGAGCGAGGTGGAGCAGGCGTTGGAGCCGGAAGAAAGAGCCTCCCTCAGTGAAAAAGAGAGGCAGAACGAGGGGGTGAACGAGCGCGACAACTGCTCCGCCTCCAGCATCTCGTCCTCCAGCAGCACGTTGGAGAGGGAGGAGAAGGAGGACAAGCTCTCCGGGGACAGGGCGACTGGTAAATGAAGCCTCTTGTCTCAATCTGCATGGTCCAGGGAAGCCTGGGGTGCAGGCCTGATTTGCTAGCAGCCTGTCCGCAGGGTGGCCTCTCAGGTGACCTGCTGGGCCAGCCCACTCGCCCGCTGTGTCACCCAGTGTCCAAGAGGAGGAATGCGGCCACACTGTGGGCCAGCAGCCTCCCGCCACATAGGAAGGTGGCCCCAAGCCCCCTGCCACGCTGTGGCATCTATAACTTCCACAGGTGGGAGGAAGGGCCGAGTAATGACGGCTCTTCCTGAAAAATAAGCCCTGAAAGAAACTCATCTCCCTCTAATTGTTTCATTGTCAATAATAGTAAGTGCAGCTTTTCTCAGTTCCTGATTTAAGTTTATAGCCATGTCATCTTATCTGCTCCTCCATGTCATCTTACCTGCTCCTTTAAAATATTTTTTTAAGTGAAGTGTGTTAAATCATTATGACTGAACATTTCAGATCAGGTCAGATTTGTTAGAACGAATGGAATGAGAGTCTGAGATTGACAGTGTGCCGAGGTCAACCTCATATGCTCTATTGGAATATACATAATTTAAGTAGTAGTCTACACTATACTAAAGACTGTTCTTTTGTTTATTACAAAATACATGCTTTTCCTTATGGAAGTATATCTTTTTGGCATTATACTTAAGATTCATTCATTTCTCCTGTGGGTGGAAACTTTATAATTAGGGATCAAGTAGAATGTTAGATTATAGGTTTGGCCTAGAAGAACCTCATCAAGGACTTGGGGAGGGTGCCATGGAGGTTATAGGAATTGTAAATGGTCTGCAACACCTTACCCACATTCCTACCCACAACTTGCATGCTCTCAGGGTGGTAGAATTCCACCTTCCTCAATGAACACTCCTTGTCCCTGGAGTCATGTCTTATGGGCCACCCTTCGTTAAGTTACATATGAGTGACACACTTAAGAAGCCTACATCTCGGGCCCAAAGGGCAGCACAAAATCTGCACAGAGGCCTGACAGCTAGTGCCCCGACTCACGAATGACTTGTTAGTTCCCAGATTAAGAATACATTGACTTGGAAGCATGGATGAGTGAATGAAAATTGAGTGAATTAATGAAACCACAGTGTCTCCCAGTACACCTGTCAACCAGTGGCCTAGTCTAAAATAGTTACTATTTGAGTTTTTCCCAGTTAGAATGTACTACTAGGCTATATTCTCTATATTGCTGGTCACTATGATGCAGCAGAAAAAGGAGGACTAAAGACTTCTCTAGTTTACATCTTAAGAATAATTGTACTAAAAATCTTGTGTCTTCATTTGGTTGAAGATATATGTGTTAATAGGTGTTATATATACTGATTTCATTTAATTTCTGTCAAAGTCAGATTACAGTTAGTCTCCTAAATTCTTCTAGTATCATTCACATTAATAGAATTATGGTCACAATACAGGGTGTAGGGGAAGTCTTTTTGGTCAGGTTGGCCTTACGTCATGTTTTATTTATTAAGAATAGCTTTAGGAATCATTCATCATAACTGGATTTAGCTGAAACATATCAACGAGTTGGGTTAATAAAAATAAGCCAGGCAACAGAACTTTCTTGGATCAGATTGTCCAATATTCTTCCAAATAAGGACAACTTTCCAAAAATGGAGACTCTGTTCCCAGTGAAGAACCATTGACTTTCTACCAAAAGTGGGTAATGTCCAAGTGTATAGAATCAGGAATTGGGGCTTCACAGTTATTTTTCTGCTTTACCCAGTGCTGTTAAAGGATTTGGTCATGTTTATTTGCTGTAGCTTGTTGGATCCTAAAATATCTCACTGCTCACAGGCACCGTTAACAGGTCTGGAGTCAGGGCAGCTATGTCAAAATAGCTCTTTTCAGAACGTTGTCAATTAAATCACAAAGGAACCTTAGGGACAATTGAAAGGATTTCCAATTTTATTTGTAATGATTATGTCAAAAATGAATTTGTAGGATTTGAAAAAGTCTCAACATTTTCCGGTTATATAATTTAATTTTTCTTGGTTTCACATCTTACACTGTGGCATTAGTATGAGAAGCTTTATTATCATAGCATTCATTACACATTGTCGTGATTACTTGTGTAATTGTCCTTTGCCACCACTCGAATGTCAGCTTTGCGAGGAAGGGGATGTCCCTTATTCATTGTGAATCCTCATTTCCTAGCTGGGTGCCCAGAGCATATAGAGTAGGGTCTCACAAAACCATAGCCGAATTAATGAATGAAGAGGTGTCTGGCCGAGATGGGGAAGCTCCATTCCTGCTTGGTCCTCTCTCTCACAACCAATATACCCACCCCCTTGGAATAGCAGAACAGTCAATCATAGGAGGACTTCGTAACATGGGAAGAGGAAAGTGGACTTTCTAGGAATCCTAAGACGTGAACAACATGGCAGTGAAACTCCAAGTAAAGCCTATTCCACTAGCCAATGATTAGGAAAAGGATGGCCTAACGGAACAGAAACCTTTCTGGCTCTTAAATACTTGGCCTATCCTAGACAAGCACTAATGGAAAATCTGACCCAGAGTCTACGGGGACCAATAGGGAGCTGAGCCTGCACCTTTGCTTGAAGGCAATGTGGGTAGGTAGTCAGGTTTCCCTGGGAAGATGCCAGTGGGACCAAGGTATGGTAGCACTGACCTTCCTCCCTGAGGACACATCCCAGCAAGAATGTGTCCTCCCCATATCTTGCTGGGATGGTGACAGCAGGGAGCTGAACATCTAGCTCCACAAAGACCTGTATGCTACACCTAAAAAGGGTGACTACTTGCTAAAAGAGAAGATGAAATAGGATCTAAATTCTATAATGCTCCAAATGTCCAGGATACAATAGAAAATCACTCACATCAAGGACTAGGGAAGTCACAACTTGAATGGGAAAATACAATTAACAGATGCCAATACCAAGATGAGCCAAACATGGGAATCAGGTGACAAAGCAGCCATCATAATGATGTTTCTGTGAGCAGTTACACTCAGGAAATACATGGGGAAATATCTTAGTGAAAAGTAGAAGATACAAAACGAACCAAAGGGAAATTATAGAACTGAAAAACATAATAACCAAAACAAAGGAAATGATCAAAACAGGTGAAATCAAAAACAGGTCAGTAGAAATTACCAAATCTGAATAACAGAAAAAATAGACTAAAAAAAAAATGAACAGATTGAAACCTTAAAATCTGTACCCCTATAATATGCCGAAATAAAAAAAAAATGAACAGAGCCACAGAGATCTATGGGACTAGAAGACTAGATCTGACATCCAGTTTATTGGAGTCCAAGTAGGAGAGGAAAAAGGGTGAGTGCAGTGATACAAAAATATCTTTGAAGAGATAATGGCCAAAAGCTTGCCAAGTGTGTCAAAAAGATATAAACTTACGGAGTTAAGAAGCTGTGCAAATCCTAAAAAGGGTAAATCCAGAGACACCCACACCAAGACAAATAATAATGAAAGTTCTGAAAACCAAAGACCACAAAGAAGCTTTGAAAGAGTGAAGAAAGAGACGTGTCACCGACTGGGGACACCAGTTCAGATGACAGCAGCCTGCTGGTGACAGCATGTGGGGGTCAGCAGGAAGGGACACAGTCTTCTGCAAGGGCATGAATTCCATATCCAACATAAGTCTCCTTAAAGAATGAAGGGAAAGCAAGACATTTCAGATTAAAAAAAACTAAGAGAATGTCTCCCTAGCAGACCTATCCTCAAAGAATGGCTAAAGAAAATTTTCTCTAAACAGAAAGGAAAGGACAGAAGGCTTGGAACGTCAGGAAAGATAGGACAACAGAATGGAGGAAAATAGGGGTAAATAAAATAGACTTTCTTCTCCTGAGTTTCCTAAATCATACTTGATGGTAGAAGCAAAAATTGTAATACCATTTGATGTACTGCTCTATGTAGAAGAAATACTTTAAGACAATTATATTTAAAAAGGGAAGTTAAAGGGATCTGTATAGGAGTAAGTTTTCCACACTTCACTTGAAGTGGTAAAACATCAATGCTATTAGACTATAAGTTAGTGTGCTTATTTTAATACCTAGAGCCACTACTAAGAAAACTATATGAATCAATGTACTTTAAAACATTATAAATAAATCAAAATTAAATTCTAAAAAATGTTGAAGGGGGGATGCAGGGAGGTTGATGGTTATAAATATACAGTTTGATAGAAGAAATCTAGTTTGTTATAGATCCATAGGGTGACTATTGTATAATCTATTGTATTAATATATTCCAAAATAGCTAGAAGAGGATAATTCAAATGTGTATAGCATAAAGAAAAGACAATACGTAAGGTGATACATGTCCCACTTATACTAATTTGATCTTTACAAGTGATATTAATGTATTATCACATGTACCCTAAAAATATGTGCATCTATTATGTGAAAATAAAATATTTTTTTTAATAAATGAAAGGTAAAAAAACAAAAGTTCAAGTAACCCACAGGAGACCAAGAAAGGAGAAATAGGAACTGAAGCAAAAGGAACAAAGAAGACAATTATAATGGCAGACTTACGTCCTAACACATCGGTAATTACTTTAAATTACAAGAAGGAGATTGGCAGAGTAGACAAAAAAAAAAAAATTATGACCTAATTATTTGCTGTTTGAACAAAACTCTTTTCTAACATAATGACATGGGATTACAAGTTAGAAATTGAGAAAAGATAAATGATGCAATCGTTAATCTGAGAAAAGCAGGAGTGGCTATATTAATATCAGATAAAGTAGACTTCAGAGCAAAGGAAATTACTAAGGACAAAGAGGGACACTACAAAATGATAAAAAGAAGACAAATGAAGAGGATAAATGAGAAACCCGGCATTTAAAGATACTACCTGATTACGCTCTTTTCCCTCTTGCCAAAATAAGAAGATGCTAACATTTCCCAGTAAATGGAGAAAGAATGTGGCCCTCTGTTGAGAAGGTCTCAGCCACTTTATCTGCTGTGGCCTCCTGGCGTCAAACTCGTCTCACAGTTTGTGGGGTGGTCTGACCAGTAGTGGAAACTTCCCATAACAAGATTTTTCAGTCTTATTCTAGAGTGCCATCTCATCTCTCTTTGACAGTGGTTATTTCCTAAGTTTGTTTTGTTTGTAAAACCTAAAAGAGGGTACAAGAGCTCTTTGTTCTGGTATTGAGGGAGGCCTAAGGTCCCCTGGTCAGGTTAGGCTGCTAAGCCAAGGACAGAGAACAAAGCTCCGTTGGAAGGAACAGAGCCCCAGGGGGACCTCGTGCTCCCCTGATAAATGCCGCCTCTGAGCTCAAGGCAGGGCCACGTGACAGCCAGTGTCCACCCTCAGCGTACTGGGGGCTCTCCTTTGGCTGAGTGGAACTCCACATGCTGAACTCTGTGGCCTGGGTCTCCCTGCGTATCTGGAGGAGCTTACCTGCTGAAGGTGCCCACCGCACGGCCCTGCCAGCCCCAAGGAAGCAGCCCCAGAGGAATAACACTCCTTGACCAGGCCTTCATTCATTCGGTTGTTCTACATGTTGGGGATCCGACAGTGAGCGGAACTAACCCGAATCCTGTTCTCATACAGTTTACGTCTCACAAAGAAGGCTATTTGGTGAGAAGTTATAAACATTCCAGTGATGGGGCAAAGGTGGACAATAACATGAATGAAATGCATGGAGGATGAGAAAGTAATCAGTGCTCTGATGGAAAACAAGCAGGGAAGGAGGATGTGCAGTGTGGGAGGGAAGGGTTGCACAATTTTAATTAAGGTGGTCGAGTGAGACTTCACTGAGAAGAGACGATTTGAGCAGAGACCTAAAGGAAGGTCAAAAAGCAAATGGTGCGATTAACTGGATGCAGTTTGTCCCAGGAGGGGCAAAGTCCCCGAAACCGGATCATGCCTGGTGAGTTCTAGGAACGGGAAGAAGCTGCTATAGCTGAGAAGGTTTATGTATGTGCATCTGGGATGGTGGTGGCAGGAGATGAAAGAAAAGGCCTTGTGAATGTCATGTCATTGGCTTTTCCTCTCATGAGAAGGCTTATGTGATCAGACATTTTAGTAACATCACGTGGCATGTTAGGGTAAGCACTGACTGTCACAGGCAAGGGTGGAAGCAGAGGGGCCCACCTGGGGTGTCCCTGCAGTACCACAGGCCGGAGCCCACACAGTCCAGGGCCGTGGCAGCAGACCAGACGTGCTGCGAAAAGCAGGTGGATTCTGGGTATGACACGAAGGTGCAGCTGGCAGGACGCCCAGCTACACTGGATGCAGAGGGTGAAGGAACAGGAGGAGTCAAGGATGACGGTGAAGTTTCTGTAATTGGCAGCAAGAAGGATGAAGCTGCCTTAGCTGAGACGGCAGAGGACCGCAGGAAACGCAGCTTCACGAGGGGTGGGGAGGAAGAGCCATTTACAGATGGAAGGTAAAGCCCCGAGACTGGACGAGACAGAGTCTGGAGAGTGAGTGTGGATGCAGGGGTGAGGTCCAAGGACAGTGAAAGGTTAAAGATAAGGAGGAACCGGCAAGGGAGACTGGAAAGGAGACCCCAGGAAGAAGGAAGCAAACCAGGCGCGAGTCCTGGAAGCCTGGAAGCATGTGTGCGGGAGGGAGGGAAGGAAGGGCTGTGTCCAGCTCAGCGTGCAAGTCCCCGGTCACCTGGAAAGGAGCAGCCTTGAAGGGTGGTGGGAGCAAAAGCTCGATTCGGCTGAGTCCAGGAGAGAGTGAAATAAATGAGCAAAACAATTCCTATAAGCAGTTTCACTTTAAAAGAAGGGAGAAAAGTCGGGTGATGGCTGTTAAGTGGGGCCAAGGGAGGTTTTGCTGTTTTAAGATGGTTATTTTAAAAACCATTATATGGTAATGACATGTGTGTTTATATGCCAGAAGGAAGGATCTAGTGGGAGGGTCATGGGAGATGCGGGGCAGATAATCACTGGGGCGGGCTCCTGATTCACGGGTGGAACAGTTGGCCCCTGCTATGAGGGGTCACGGGAGGGACCCCATGGGCTGGGGTGCAGGGGGGAGGGGGGGACTCTGGAAGATCTCTCCTGACTACACCTGTTCAGTTGGTGAACCAGGAAGCAAGGCTGTTCCTGAGGATGCGATGGGCAGGGAGGCGGGGTATGAAAGGTTGTCTAGAAGGAGTGGCCGGAGACTAGTAATTGTGAACTTAAAGCACAACCACGGGCATTTTGTGTGTCTCCCCAGCACTTTGAGCTGTACTGGTGCAGATTCCAGATGGGGGGGAGAGGAACAGAGGTAACCCTGCAGCCTCTCCAATACCTGCCATGGGCCAGGGAGTGGCTTCCTTGGCTCCCTGTGTCCAGTTAGGACAGAGGCCCCTTAGCTCCCTGTGGCTAGGTGAGTCCTGACCGGCTGTCATGGGTGGGCAGGAAAGGGAAGGAAAGTTTCTTCCACGAGCCCAGGTGGGAGCCAGGAACAGCGTCTTACCTGACACAGTCCTGGGTCCCGGTGGGGGTCTTCAGGATTGTAAAGCAGTGTCTCTTCTTGGTTAAGAATGTCTTATCAACCAGGGCCACCTTTTGCATTGATTGCTTTATTTCAGCGTGTTCTCAGAAGTCATCCCTGTGTAGCAAGTGTCAAGTTCACTTCCTGCCTAGTTTTCCTGCAAAAGTACGGCCCCTTTGCCACTTTCTCATTTTTTCCCTCCTGTGTGCTTTCAGGTTTGTGGTCCGCGGGGGTCCAGGATGCGGGTGTAAATGGACAGTGTGGCGACATCCTCACCAGCAAACGGTTCATGCTGGACATGCTGTATGCCCATAACAGAAAGTCCCCAGGGGACGGCGAGGCCACAAGGACCCAGCAGGAGGCAGAGGCGGTCACCAGCCTCGCCACCAGGGTTTCCACCCTGCAGGCCAACTCGCAGGCCCAGGATGAGAGCATCAGAAGGGTGGACGTTGGCTGTTTGGACAATCGGGGCAGCGTGAAAGCATTTGCGGAGAAATTCAACAGTGGGGACCTGGGGAGAGGGTCCATCTCCCCTGATGCTGAGCCCAATGACAAGGTCTCGGAGACAGCACCGGCACAGCTAAAGACAGAGGCTGATTACATCTGGGACCAGCTCATGGCCAACCCGAGGGAACTCAGAATCCAAGACATGGATTTCACCGACCTGGGAGAGGAGGACGACATCGATGTCCTGGACGTGGACCTGGGTCACAGGGAGGCCCCCGGGCCACCTCCCCCACCCCCACCCACCTTCCTGGGTCTGCCGCCCCCACCCCCTCCCCCCCTGTTGGACAGCGTGCCTCCCCCTCCCATCCCCGGTAATTTATTGGCCCCTCCTCCTCCAGTGTTCAACGCTCCTCAGGGCTTAGGGTGGTCCCAGGTACCCAGGGGTCAGCCCACGTTCACCAAGAAAAAGAAGACCATCCGTCTGTTCTGGAATGAAGTCCGGCCTTTTGAGTGGCCGTGTAAAAACAACCGACGCTGCAGAGAATTCCTGTGGTCAAAACTGGAACCCATTAAGGTGGACACTTCCAGACTGGAGCACCTGTTTGAGTCTAAATCCAAGGAACTGTCTGTCACAAAGGTACTGCCAGCCTCCAGCATGCTTCTTGATTTGCAGTTGGGTGGGGCTAAAGAGATGTGTTTTGTATAAAATGCTCTTCTTTGTGTTGCTTTTGCTATTTGGTGAAAAGTCCATTGGTGTAAAAATCTCATCTTTAATATAGTATTCTTTGTGCTAAGTGTAAGACACCGGCCTACTAACATTAGGCAAAGGAGATTTCACGGAACCAGATAATCCTGAGGAAAAGCTAAGGAATGTCAGCATAGCCCAATAGCAGATTGTGTTTTCTTTTAGAGACAGAGTCTTGCTCTGTTGCCCAGGCTGCAGTGCAATGACATGATCATAGCTTACTGTGACCTCCAACTCCTGGGCTCAGGCAATGCTCCTGCCTCAGCCTTCCAAGTAGCTGAGACTACAGGTACATGCCATCATGCCTATATTTTTTTTTAACTTTTTATAGCGATGGGGTCTCTCTGTGTTCCCCAGGCTGGTCTCAGTTCCTGGCCTCAAGACATCCTCCCATCTCTGCCACCCAAAGTGCCAGGATTAGAGGTGTCAAGTACCACGCCCAGCCCCAATAACAGATGTTGATGTTAGCTAGAGGAAAGTGGACTTGCTGACTTACCAAACACCGTGGATATGTTTATTTAATCTTACCTTCATTGATTTTGGTCGATAGTGGTTTGAACTTCAGCTGTAACCACCCATTGCTTTCGCAAAGGCAGTAATCCAAGTGACACTTCTTTGGCTAATCTCCTGGCTTAGCCAGCATACTGCAACTATCTGGATGTTTTCCAATAGCCATAGATTTAGCATCCCGAAAACATTACACATGCATCTAGATTTACTATTTTTCATAAGTGTTTGGGAATCCTGTAGGCACTGCTGGCTGTGGTATTAATGGAGATGATTAAATCCACTTTTATCAGTGGGAAACACTGCACATGAAATTTTGGGGCATCAAAGGTTAAGTCATGGCTAGCAAACACTGATAAAAAAACTGTAAGATGCTGGATCACAGCTTTTATTTCTAATGACTCACTGCATGAATAGAGTCTGCTTTACATCTCTTAAAGAACTGGCTTTTTAAAACCACTTAGATTCTGGGCATATTCCAGTTTTAAAACACGTTTAAGGCTATCCTCTCTCCTCAAGAACTGACGGTATGAGAAAGCACTTTGTAAGGCACAATTTAGAATAAACACACAAGGGCTTATTATCGTGAATTACTTCTCTCTGTGTTGCTTCAGCCACTTATCATCTTTTTGGGTGAGCTGCCTGGGTCAGCCTCCCAGACCTGCCAGTCACACCCAGTTCTGAATCAAAAAGTATGTGTGGCAACCTCAGAACACAAATGTCCTACACAGGGAACCCAGAGTTCGTGCCTGTCCTGCTGCGTGATGCTGAAAGGCCAGTTAGGGGAGGTGTAATTGATCAACTTCCGTTTGAAACACGTGCAGGGGCTTCTTAAACTACCTGCTGTTCTTTGCTGGATGGCATTTACCCCGGTGTCTGTTTCTGCCCCATCTCAGTGAAGGCCTGAATGTTTCTAGCCTCAGGAATCCCCTCCAGACAGAGCTAGAGCTTGCTTTTTCATAAATCCAAACTGCTATGATCCAGTGTAAACAATGATGCCCAGTCAGCCCTTTCCTTCAATTAAAAGTAGACCTGGCTTCTGTCCTCTGGAAAATAATGCGTAGGAAAGGGGTGTGAGACACCTGCTCTTGGTGTGGCTGCGTCCTGAGTGTCTGGGATGGTGACAGGTGGTGCTGAGCCCCTTTCTAATTCCTGTAGTCAGCCTGACGTTTAGGAGAAGGCCAGCCAGGATTAAGACTGTGGTTGCCAGGAGCTACCCACATCCGGACACGCTGACACTGCCCTCTAGCCCACTGACCTATTTGGCTGGTCTCCTCTTCCTCTCCCTTCGTTCGTGCCCATTGGGCTGGCCGTGCCTCTAGGCTTGAGAGGTAGCGCATCACCCTTGCAGGTTGCTGGGGGAGACTCTGCCCCTTGACTGAGGTTAGGAGGAATGAAATGGAGTATGGTAGTAAAGGCACTTCTAACTTCATTTTTGCAAAAGAAATTGCAAGGTTAAAAGTTTCCCAGAGAAGATCCAAAATGATTAGCTCACCTCCCTCCCTCCTTTTCGTGGTCCCACTGTGGCCTATTTGGTTGGTGATAAGATTCCAACCTCTGCTCTCTCAGTAGCCCAAATTCCATTCTTGCCTGAAGCATGTAGTGACCTCTTAGAAGGTCATTTGTCCCTTGCCTAGCTAAGGGATAAACGTGTTTATAGGGTAGGAGCTTTAGAGAAAAGTAATATATGGAAAAGTTTACCAACCTGATTTTAGAATGTTCTGTGAGACCCAGGGGTCCCTACCTTTGTGTTTTGGGATAGGAAATGTGAACAGGAGCTAATTTACAAAATGTTACAAAAGGTAAGAATGCAAATTAGGATTAAAACACATCACCCTGGATAGTTGAATGCATCTTGTATGTGTTACCAATACAGATATCACCAGTTTCCCTTCTGTTTCTAATCCTCGGGTGTGATTTTCATAAAATGCAGTGTAAACAGCCTCTTCCGAATTCTGGCTCGTAGAAATATTTTTATTGAACACAATAGAGCTCAACAAAAGTAAAATGAAATAGACTTTACAAATCAGCACAAAACAAAGAGAATTGGCTTTAGTTTCCACCAGAAAACTAACACGAGACCAGAGTTTTAAAGCATGGTGTGACTAAGTCACCCCAAAACATAGATTCATGAGGCCAGATACCAGTCAGTGAAAATAAGACCAAAAGATCTGCTTTGGGGTTTTCTTTCAAAATAGTTTCTGGAAGTGGATCTACTTTTCTGTCCTAGCAGGAAATATGTATTAATAGTTTTTTTTTAATGGGATGACTTTTATTGTGCTTTATGGAGGGGGACAGAAGTCCTGTGCTAAGTTTCATCATGTTCTGTTTCTGCTGCTGGCCTAAGATGTGGTGAATCACATAGGAGAGAGTTAAGGACCCCAGAGAAAGAAGTCAGGGCAGAAAGCCCCTGTGGGTACAGAGAGGGACCCTCCATGGGCTTGCCATCATTCTGAGAAGCCCCAGAAAGTGCCCTTCCAACCTTGGTCTGATCAGGGTTAATGAAATCTTACCTGCTGCCATAGGGTCAAGGCCTAAGTGACAGCCAGACCATTGGAACTCAGTTTGGAGACCCTGTGCTGTCTTATCCTCTCGAATTCATTAGGTTTTTCATGGGAGTTGGGGGGAGGTTGGTAATCCAGAATGGATTTGGAGAAATTTGTTTAACTTTACCTTGAAGTTTCTAAATCTATCAAACTAATAACAGCAACTTTTAAGGAAAAGTTGGAGATGATGATTTAATTGGTCAGGGGGTGAGCCTTGGCCTGGGTTATTTTTAAAAGCTCCTTGGGGATTTGAAAGTGCAACCAGGGCTGTGAAAAACTGATTCCAAGTGAAAACCACCACTCTCCCACGCTGATGCCCCCTGGCCAGTTTTATTTTCCTGAGAAGAGATAAAAATCTCCCTACCCTAACTTCAAGTTCAGGACATAATGGAATAAGTTATTTAACATTAACCCCCAGGAACGTGGATTCTACCTAGAAATTCCAAACTGGAGACTTACGGAGGGTGATCATAGATCCTCATGTGCCCAGGACGGTCCTGGCATATGCCTATTTTGCCAACAACATTATTAAGAGCATTCCCTTCCTCTCCCCTAGGTCTCTGACTTAGGGTAATAGATAAACTAAATTAACACGGGAAGTCAGTTTAACAGTTGGCCTCTGCTATAGATGACTCAAGGACAAATATAGGAAATTAATACTTTTTCCTTAGCAATAAGGCAAATCTATTCTGGCAAGCAATTTTATTCCTGACTAAAGATTTTTCAGCTTTTATTTAGACTTCAGTTTTTGTTTTTTGCCTTAATGCTTTGCTACGTATCTCCCAATCTCCCTTTATTTCAAGACTTTAGGAAAATGCCGTAGTTGTCACATCTTTGGGACTTCTGTATCTTTGCATATTTGTAACTGTCACTTTCTCAACAGACAGTTTTGAAAATATCCTGTGGCGTCACTCCTTTGGCAGTGAGCAGGGAGGGAGGAGGAATGGTTTACCATTTCTAGAACTTCTGCGCTTGCTGAGCCAGACCCAGGGTGTCTGACAGTGATGCTGAGAAGCATTTGCAGGGGTTGGTGGCCTTTCATGGAAGCGCTCTCCAACCAAGTGCTGTTCTCCAGTCCTCTGGGAGTTGTCTTAATAAATCACGTCCGTAGCCCAGTTTCTCTCTTCAATCACAGCACCTTCTGGGGTGACAAGTTCTGGGTGTTGAGTATTTACTTCTTAAATATTATATCCTCTAGTTCTAGTAAAATTACTCTTTCAAAATGTGGTGGGGTGATCCTGTGTGGCAGCATGTCAGGAAACTTTAAGCTTAATGACTAGTGTTTACTATTTGAATTTTCCTTCCCACCTTTTCCTCACTGCTGCCTGAATCCTCAGCCTTCTCTTTTCCAAAACTGAATGACAGTGAGAGGGGGTTAAGGTCTTTTCCTTTCCCCTGGGATGTTAACTGTAGTCAGGTGGTGGCTGCTCTTGCATGGTGGTCCCCCTCCCGCAGTGACCATTGAGAAGCAGGTCTGAGTCTTCACTTGCAGACTCCAATATACTCGTCCCTGGAGGCAATAATTTGTTCTATCCGAAAAGCTACCTTGAATATCTCCTTCCTGTGAGGCATTTCGTCCTCCACCTCTGCGTCAGGGACTGAGGCTGCATCCAGGGCACACCTGGGCAGATGCGTGTCTCTGCACTGCTTCTTTCCAGCTGAATCTAAGTATTTGGCCTAGCTGTTCTGCAAAATATTCCTATCGTCATGTGTGGTTTTCTGCCCCTTGGAGTGGCTGAATCTACAGGGTCCTACCTCATGGAGCTGCTGGTTCTAGAGAGCAGATCCCCAACCCAGGTGGCCGACTATCAGGTGACTGTGAGGCTGCAGGGAACAGTC